TTTTTTGAGAAGGACCTGTATATATATGTATACAAAGATGGCTAGTATCAATGGGCTAGGAGGGCTAAACCCTCCCTCCAGGCATTTACAATAATGGTATTAAAATAAAAAAACTTCAAAATAACAACTTAAAAATAAATACATTTTAGAAATAATATCACATTTTGTTTAATTTACAAAAAAACTGGTGTCAAACTGCCTTGGGAAAATCCCAGGGTTTTTCCAAAGGGCTATATTCTGACAGCTCCATTCTGTTACTGTTCTGTCATGGTTCAGAACGACTGACAGATGGCTGGCCACGCCCATAATAATAACAAATGTCCAATGAAAAGTCTGCAGTTATGAGCTCAAAAATATCAAGATATAAAAAAAATTCATCGGGGCCCATTCACCAGTCTTGGTCTTTTGAAAATAAAAAGAAAAAAAATAAGGAAACGTGTCAAAAAGTGTTGAAACCCTTAATGCAGGGGAATTAAGTTGGACAACTGGCAGAGGCTCTGTGTAAAAGCTTGGTCTTTGGTTTTTCTGTGGTTGTTTGTTTTACCGTTGTCTTTGAGGTGAAAAATGACTATGTCAATTTATAGCAGTTTTTTTTTTTTTTTCAAACTGGATGCTTCTGTTGTTGGAATTCATTCTGTAGCATATTTATATATATAGTGACTATTTTGGAGTTATAGCGCCCCCAGAGGAAAGTCCACGAGCCGCCACTGATCACAGAGATAGATGTGTACATCTAATCACTGATGATATATTTGTATAATGTATCTATAGGTAATACATTATTATTTACTGTAGTAGATTACTTACTTGGTGATGTTGTGTATGTAATGTGGAAACCTCTGTCAGAAACACTTGCATCAGAATGAAAGTGGATCCATGCAGCTGGGCCAGTAGTTTGCAGGGGGGGTGGTGAGCCAGTACTGCAGAACTTCCCAAGGACGGGGTCTTCAGGTAAAAGACCATCTCGAATCTAAATAAATTGACAAGACAACTGAGAAAAAGAAAAGAGGCACAACGATTGTCACCCCCCAC